GGGGTGGGGGTGGGGGTGGGGGAGGAGGAATTACAACTTAAATAACTGCTGAGTTGAGTCACAACGGGCAGTAGGGCTTTGTAATCAGAATGAATGGGTAATATCTTGACCAGGGTCAGTTTAATCAGGTAAATATCTTGACCAGGGTCAGTCTAATCAGGTCAATATCTTGACCACAGTCAGTTTTATCAGAATAAACTGACACAGGATGATGCCCCAGTCAGGTATCACCATTATACCCAGTGAGTCAGATTTATGAACACTCGCAATCATTTTCTTTATAGGTCAATTACTTTATAGGTCAATTACTATAATCACGGCAATAAAACAATTACAGGTTTGTAAACTGTCAATAAACCATGGCTTTCAGTTGGTAGAGGGACTGAGTGGACCAAACTTCTGGTTTGAAAGTTGTTTTAACAAAATCAGCCTAAGATACATCAGGATATAGCCAGACTGGTGATAGAGAACAGTGTGCTTAAGCTAACTAGTAGTTGTCTAGTCTTCTGATACATTTCAAACCAACTTCTGGTATGAAATATTTCAGGTAATGGATTGAGACCTAGCCTGTTGGTCCTGTGGCTGGGGCTTGCACCACTGTGTACCTGTTGCCCAAAGGAATCCTCCAAACATGGAAAGTGGATAAAATGGTGGGAACCCTCTCATGGCATTCACGATGAGACCCACACACCAGATAGCGCTGCATAACACCCATTGGAAGAACATCCCTGAATAAAATATATATGTTTATATAATAGATTTTAGTAACAGGGTGTATGGTAATTACTCGATCCTCTCAATTGGCAAAACTTATCAAACTACCAGAAACAATTCTATAATCATGAACTTCAAAATTTTACTTCTATATAGCATTTGTGGTACTTTTACTACATAGAACAGAACTATTGAGTAGCCTGCTTTTAACTTTTGATGCTACCATGCAATACAAATTAATTTTCAGAGAAAATGAAAAGATCGAGTAATTATCATACTTAATGTGACAAACAATATTATCTCAGCAGAACACAGCCACCATCCTAATGTTTAGTAAACCTATATCATACTAGTCTATTTTTTAGTCATTTTACAGTTATAGAAAACATGGAGTTGTTACCAGTGATCTAATACTTAACATGATCTTCTGCTGGGCTGGTAACTGTCTGTTCACAGAGCAGGCTATTTTATCTATAAAAATACTTCAGAACTCACTAAAACACCTGTCAGTATAACTCTACATTCACTCATTTGATAAAAACTGAAATATTTGGCTAAAGGACAACTAAGTAAACTATCGAACTCACCATCTCCAGTTTCAAATTTCTTGACAGGAACAAAGTTACTTCCAAACAAAACTACGGCAACACCAGCACATATGAAGCCCACATACTCGGGAAAAGATTCCTCTGAAGTGTGGGTCTTGGTGAGACAACTAGCTTCCATTATAGAACTCTCTATCTGGAAAGTATAAAGTTAAATATGCAAAGATAAGAGTACAAATATAACCTGTATCACATGTGTATATGTAACAGTATTTGCATGCATGCACATGTAGGAAATGAAGGACAGAAATGTACCAAACAGTCTAAAAAAGATAAATATATAAATTCATTACAAGAGAACAATTTGTACAAAAATTGTGTGTTCGGTACCTTCATTTATCCTCCTCTTTGTGAATACAGACAAACTGTGCATGGATTTTATAAGAAACTATCTTATCTTACACTATGAATTAACACAATGCTGAACACTGCAATGAAAGCCTTCAATACTACATACGAAATGGAACACCTATTAGTAATTTGGCCAAGCACCTGTTCATATGACAAACCTTCTGAACCACAAATATGATAATTATCATATATCATAATAATATCATAATAATAATAAGTATTATCAAGTGATTTCAGCTGTTAACTGCTGTATGTATAAAGTGAGAAATGGATAAATAGCTAGTGAATTGATCAGTGACTCAGGATCACAAGTATTCTGTCACCTGCATCTTACTAGTACACTGTAGTATGCTTCTGTATATCAGATTATGTTTATTAACAGGTGACATTTATGAAGGGAAGAAACATATACCAGTAGTAAGTATAAACATGAGAGTTCAAGACCCCAGTCAAGCCCATATTTGAGGGTGACTAGGGCATTTTTGGCCCGATTTGACCTTGTTTCTTTACCAATTTAGGTCAATCTACTAGACTACTAGTTAGTGGGTGAAAAGGTTCACATTTACTGAAAAAGAATCCTTCCATAAAAAGTGTTATCTACAGGGCGCCTGACAGTGTACTAGTAGGGATAGACACTCTGACTGAACATCGGTTCATCCAAAACTTAGTTTTTTTTTTTTTTTTCAGACACAAGTACCACTGTGAACATAAAGTAAACGGGAGAGCGTAAAATAGGCTGATTATTTGAATTTGTCACCTGACGTTATTGGCAGCATTTTTTTTTTCGTCAACTCGTCCACTTCAAGTATATTTACCCTCATAAATCCACTAATTTACTGTGGGGTGTACCCGACCTTTGTTACATAAACCATACAGCGATACCTGATACCAACAATTAACAAGAGGACTAACTTAGTAACTAAGTAAAATTATGGGAGACAAAGAGTGACAACAATTTCCATTGCATATTTTACAATTTGTACAGTATGATAAATCTATCAAACTTTGATCGATCATTTGGTACTTACGTTTCTCAATCGCAGGAAATCAGCTACGTTTTGTCCGCATATTAGGGCTCAGTTCGTCCAGGTAGATAAGAAGTCTCTACTTGTGACCAGTGTGAAGTATCAGTGACCTCCTTCGGGTTGACACCTCCACCGGAAGTGCTACAAAAGTCACTTTACAAGACAAGCCACACTGGTCTTTTCCAATTATTATTATATTTTTGTGTTTTGATTAGGGTGCACAGTTAAATGTTTCAAAAGAAAATAGGAATGTAATGACTGGTACTGGTAGACTGGTATTAAAAAATACAATAAAAACTTTATAAAAGAGAACAAAGTGTGTTTGTGTTTATGTCAATATTAAAGAGACATATAAGCTGCGTTAATTTTCATTTTTATAGGGAAAACAAAACTTAAACTGTCATGATGAAATGTGCATTGTATTACCTATCCCTAGGATGACACCTTCAATATTCAAAATTACTGAAAACTCACAAATCGGAAAGAAAAAAACTATAAATTATTCTCAGCATCTGGTGGTTGGGGGATTAGTTGTTCATGACAACTTGATACTAATGCTGTGTCTATTAGTATGTTTGGTCATTTTTTTGTAACAGTTATTACAGCAGGACGCCTCAACTGTGTTATGCTAATTACAACGGTGGAATTGATTAAGCTGATTTTATAACTCAACCAGCCTTCATATCAATTAAAGCTCCTTTGTTAAAAATTTTTGAGACAGCTTGACATATTTTGTACAAATGTTGCACCAAAAAAAAAAAAGTCAATCCGTAACTTGTAAAATGAGTCAATCATGCTGATTTTCAAACTGTCATTTTCTCAAATGAAGCTGTTTAGTAAATTTAAAGTAGAATGAAAATATGATTTGGCAATAGTAGTTTGAATATAGCCAAATACACTGCAAAAAGAAAAAAATTAATATATAATTTTTTTTCTTTCAAATGTGTCATTGGGGCCGTAGCGATAGTCCGAAGGTTCAATAGTCCGAAGGTTCATTGGTCCGAATGTTCACTATAGAACCTTCGGACCAATGAACCCTTGATTAAAAAATCGATGAAAATGTTACCACTTTTCGGACCAATGAACCTTCGGACTAATGAACCTTCGGACTATCGAGACGCCCCCGTGTCATTAAACCTGTCATATATTATTTGCCAAACAAAATCCCCTAGAGAATGTTAATGAAAAGAAAAAATTTAGACTGCTTCATCTGTTTAAACAATCCTGTCAGAAAATTGTGTTTATAGATCAACATGTTTAATTTTTTTAAATTTCATGAATAACCATAACGATTTTTTTAGTCTTAAATTGAGGATTTGCCAGGGTTGTGAAAGATATTGTTACGGATGAGACAGTCGCATCTAACACATTTGGGGTGCTCGTTGCCAAATATGATTTAAACACACTCCGTCTCATGATTTCATTTGGTAATGTCACATCTCTTTGATAACTTTCAGTTTTAAAATTGTAGAGATTGGCGTTAAGTTGCCCAGTTCTGATCTCGTTAATATAACGAAACAAAATCTAATTCAATTAAAAATCAGGCCGGCGTTAGTTCTGTAGTTCGTTGTTCTGCGATGGCTTTGTCACGTGACATAAGGTAAAGGCACGAAAGGATTACTTTATTTTTACGTTTTATTCAGTCTAATAAAATCTCTCAGATATATAAAAACTATCGAATTTTGTCTATAGAAAAATGAAATAAATATATTTACCAAATATATTCCAAGAAAAAGGAAATATGTAAAAATGCAACAATTATGCATATTGATTCTCCTTACGGAGCCCTGACCTACATAAACATTGGCATTGGTGAATAGTCGGTGTGGAGTGAGGGAGCTCGTAAGTTTGTAGAGTAGAGATGACTCTCATTTCATCATGGAAAGGGGATACAGACAACCGATGAACGTGAAAACGGCAATCAGAGATAAGTATCCAGACATCTACTTAACACTTTGTGGACTTAAATGCTGAGTCGACTGCATGTAAGACACGATCAAGAAGACAAAGCTGCGAAATATTACTGTTGCTATCGTACAACGTGAAAATGGATTAGGCTGCATTTAAGACGAATTAGATTTAAAATCAGTTCGATATTGTTATCATTTATTGCCCAATTTATATGTACTATGCAAGATTTTGATGTTACTGGATGAACAGAGAAGCAAGTAGTCACGGACTGTGACTGAATTTCGGAAATTTAGAACACCTGAAACTTGGATCAAACAGGTAGAAGTTGGCCGATACTTGGTCAACATGGAGTCAACGTGCAGGTGCTTGGAGAGACGCTGCTTGTTGTTCTTGGTCGTTTTATCTATGCAATTTCTGCCAACAAGGACACAAGCCGCAAGATATGTTGAATTTTCTGTTGCTGAAGAACAACCTGTAGGTAGTTTTATTGGCGATCTAAACACAGGAAATAGTCATCTTTATGTGCTCTGGCAGGGGCCAGATTACAATGATAGAATACATGTTGATACCTTCACAGGAAATATTACAACAGCTGCAGTGTTGGACAGAGAAGAAAAGTCTTCCTATAGCTTCTCTGTGTTACTATACTCCAATGGTTTACTCATCCAGGTCAAGGTTCATGTGCTGGACATTAATGACCACAACCCTGTGTTTCCTGTGGATGTAGTCCATTTAATCTTACCAGAAAAGACACCAATTAACACCAAGCATGTGCTAGGCAGTGCTGTCGACCCTGACCTGGGAGAAAACACTGTCAGCAGATATGAGATTCACAGTGGAAATACAAACTCTGCATTTGGACTTGTGTCCAAGCAAAATGGCAATGTTTTGTACTTGGATTTAACAGTAATTGGGGTGCTGGATTATGAGCAGACCCAGGAATATGATTTGTACATCAGGGCTTATGATAATGGCTCACCACCTAAATATGGTGAAATGAGAGTAAATGTGACAATAATTGATGACAATGATAATCAGCCCATATTCAATGCAAGCAGATATTCTGCACAGATTTTGGAGAACGCCACTGTTGGAGGAAGTATTTTACAGGTGTTTGCCACGGATCAGGACAGTGGTGCAAACGGCCATATTATGTACCATATAGATCGAATAAATAGTGATCAAGAAGAATTTTTCCGTATCAATCCAGACACAGGCATTGTATATGTAAATAAGCCACTGGATTATGAGAGGAAAGGAGCACACGAGCTCATCGTTGTCGCTAAAGACAACGGAAGCCAACCTTTACAGACAAGTGCAATTGTGTCCATACAGGTGGTCGACGTGAATGACAATGAGCCGCGCATAAACCTGACTTTCTTCTCCAACGACAATACTCCCAAGATATCTGAGGCGGCCAATCCTGGTCAGATCGTTGCCAGGGTGACTGTAAGCGATAAAGATGGCTCGGGAGTCTTCTCAAATATAAATGTCACACTCAAGGGGGGTGGGGGTCATTTTGGGTTGACAACTAGGGACAACACAGTGTATTTGATAATCATAAAAAATCCACCTGATCGCGAAATACAACCTTATCATATGCTGACAATAACAGCAACGGACAGCGGTACGCCACCTCTTAACGCCAACATCACATTTAATTTACAAGTGGAAGATGTGAACGACAACGCTCCCCAGTTCACAGCCAGGGAATATCATGCTGATATCAAGGAGATTGTTTCTGCGGGTTCATTTGTGATCCAGGTGAACGCCACGGACCGAGATGAGGGGGACAACGCCCTGATCCAGTACAGTATATTAAATGTGCCGGATTCTCACTCAGATTGGTTCCAAATAGACGCCATGTCTGGCCTGATCACCACCAGTAAACCTATCGACTGTGAAGTGGATTCTCAGCCGCGGTTGTTGGTCCGAGCCATGGACTCTGGCTCCCCTCCTCTCTCCGCCACTGCCACTGTGATTATTACAATACGTGACGTCAACGACAACCAGCCGGCCTTTGATCAGAGTTTTTACAATGTCTCCATCCCAGAGGATACCGCTGCCCAGACATGTATACTAACCGTAAGTGCACCACTTCAGATTGTAGTTTTTAAAAAAATTTTAAATATCACACTTTTCTCCCACGTTTTATTTCAGGAATATACATAGAGTCTGATAGTTTATATACACAAATGAGGGATGTTTAAACTGCAATGTCTATGTTGGGTTTTGTGACAGGGTCTTGAAAATATCAGCCTTTTTTTAAGGCACTTGGTTTGATTCAAAGAAAGAAAAAATATAAAGGGACCCAAAGTTGTGAATGTTCCTGTTGAATTATCTATTTGAAAACAGGCCCGTAGCCAGGGGGGGTGCGGGGGGTTCGAAAGAACCGCCCCTTTTGCTGGGAAAAGGTCCACTCTGGGTAAAATTTGATGTAGGTACATGTAGTTTTTATGGGAAAAGGTCCACTTTTTCAGAAAAAGAACCCCCCTTTTGAAATTGCTGACTACGGGCCTGGAAAATAATGATGTATCTGCATAAACAGATTTCTCCAGTTAAACATTGTTTAGATCTATAATTTCCTGACTAAATGTATTTAGCATTAAGCATAATACAAATAGTCATTGGAAAGAAAGCCAGGTTCTATATGGATTATAGATGGATCTAGTCATGACACGAGAGGAAATGTTAGAACATTCTTAGGAAGACTACAAATGAGATTACATCATGAAAGTTAGATTTAACTGTAGATCTTATTGGTAGGTTTTATAGGTATAACATGGAAAAGTCTTGCTTTTTTACCAAGACAGTGTCCAAGATGTATTAAAGAGAGAAAAAGAGACAGGTTTGGACAGTCCAGACCCATAGATCTTTCACAAGGGGCAACTCAACTCCTTATTCCATTACCCATTTTACAGGGATGACAGGAGTGGGCCTGTTTTTCGCCTCTTCATTCTTCATTAATGTCCTTAGACATGCAACCCTCCAATAGAAGTTATGTTGAAAAACTTAGTCACTCTAACTGCACATGAGATGAAATCTGCAGGCCTCCTGTCTAGATAGCGACCAGGTACATATTATACTGGCTCCTTGAAGTTGAACTGGGCTGTAATCTTTCTTCCATTTCATTAGAGAGAAAGTCTGCTTGTACCTATTCTCCTCCAACCACCAAGTGTTTAAGTGACCAGAAATAATTGTTGATATTGAATTATGTCCAGTAAAGTGGGACAAAATTTAAACAAAGGTGAACTAAGTGTGGAAAGCATTGGGATAATTATAAAGTATTCAAGAGAATAAAGACTTCCCCAGCTGGGCCTTTACAGAATGGGTGTAGTTGTAAACTTACAGTAATAAAAGTGGGCACTTATGATTTAGACTTTGAAGAAATATGTACTGCATAAAGGAGCACCTGTTTGGCTAATTCTAATGACCAATTCTTAAGTCTGAATTTTATATATATATTTCATACAACGCGTCCAGTAGACAATAATGACCAAATAAAAAAACTGCCTTTCGTCTGGCTGGCTTTCCACATTCTATGGGGTATGGGTCATCAACGGGGTGAACAAAGTCTTGACAACAATCAGTGATAGGAATTCCATAACAACTATCATTAATCTTACTAGGTGAATATCCATTTGACAGGCTGGTTTGTATGGCGGACATCAGCCAAGGCCGCCAGGTGATTTGATTAGCCTCCATTGCTAAAGGTAGCACTAGCTAGGCACAGACACACAAAGAACTGCTCTGTGATAGCCAACTTAATCCTGGGCCAAAAGCTTTTGTGTCTCTTTGGAGCTGGGAACAAAAAAGTTCCAGACCTCTGGCTGTGTTACATGTGTCAGAAATTGAATTTTTTTTCTCTCTATGAAGATATTGCTGTAAAGTTCCAGTAAGAAAGAATGAGGTGATATTTAATGAAAAATGGACTATGGGGACTCTTTAATCAACTTCAAAAAGTTCTGAAGAATGTTTTCTTTTATTTGAATTCTGAAAATAAAAAAAAAAAACAAAGTGAATTTTAAGTGAATGTCATCATGGTTTGTATTTCAAGTTTGTTAACTGGTAAAACTTGTATTAAACTGAACAAAATTCAGAGATGAGATGTGCATATAGTGGTACCAAGGGAAAGAGAAAAAAAGAATCTTCTTAGCCCCATATCGCAACTCAGTTGTATGAATTTAATCCTACAACCTGGGTCCAGGTACTGACTGCTATCACGGTCATTTCAATAAATTAGAATACTGCATGGATGCTGGTTAAGTGGGGATTTTAAACTCCATGACACAAAAGACTTGGGTGGCCCTGTATAATTAAGGGAGGATAATTGAACGTTCATCCAGGCATTCCTGGTATAGTAACGATCATCCCTCACCGAAGGCTACAACAGAAATAATGCTTTGAAATGGAAGCACTTCATGTCTTTACCACATTCTGCCCACTTTTACTGTTATTCTAAGGTTGCGTTTATTTTTCATATTGCTCCAATTGTTTGCCTGCGATTGCAGCACAAAGCGCACGCAGTGTTTAGCAAGGGGGGGTGACGGTATATTATACAAACATGCACAAATTCCTCCCCTTTGTGTCCGTTTAAATGTGTTTACTCACGGCAGTCTGGTTAGCTATGGAAGCTGAGTCAGGACTTCTTGTCTTTAGAAATACGCTCCCAGTTTATGGTACACATAAGTCGACCAAAGAAATAGCAGCACTGCAAGTTTCAACCCCTCCCCCAATATCACCTGAATGGGTTGTCAACACAGGTTTACTGTGTGCTGAGAAGGATGAGTCTCCAAGCTATGTTCTACATATAAATACTAGTATAAATTTACATCTTATTTGGTCTAAGATAAAAAAGAAAAAAAATTCTGATTATTTAACCTCGACAAGAGCAAACTGTCTTGCTGATCAAGTGACATGGTAAATTATCATATGTGTCGCTGTTCAGTTAACAGGAGACATGATTTCTGGTTGATTTCACCAGATTTACAGCATACCTAGTCTAGCCCAGCTAGTCATACTGGAGTCTGCGCTGTTATCTTACCTGTAATCAGTCAATATAGTCGTAGAACTGTCACCTGAGGTAATTAATGCCCGGCCACACACCTCTGGGATAATCAATAATTTGGGCAGGCCTCCTGCATTTATTTATCTTCTTAGATCGATACTCTTAACTATATTATGTACATTTGCTCTATGTAATGTTATAGATGTAGAAATATTGTGTCTAAAATTGCTCATTTGCAAATTTTTTCTGTCTCAAAGTTTGATGTGTAACTTATCAAAATGCAACAAGTGTCCAGCAAGCAGTTTCTATCTGATTTGTGGACTTTGTACTATGCTTTTCTTTTTAACACAGAAGTGAGAGCCAATTTTAGGCAAAATTGTAGAAGCTCCAGGCTTCTCAATTTGATTAACACTATTATTATTAAAGAATTGCCTCTTATTTCAATCCTTGATAGTCAGCATAGTGAAGTTAACCAAACAATGGGGCCTGCTGGTAAGAAGGTACGATAGACTTCATAAATTAGACAGAGGATTATAGAGTGCAAATAAACCGGGGGGTTAAAGTGACATAGCATGCGTATCTCGTACACTGCATCAAGTGGAATGTACGTGGTTGTAGGTTCGAAGGAGGACTTTGGCTCTGACGCGTAGACTACAGCTGTTAACAGTGCCTGCGCCTTAACTGGTGGCCTGGAAATTATAACAGTTCAACGCAGATATTGAGTTTTTTTTTTTTTTTTTTTTTTTTTTTCAGTTGCAATTTTATGGAATTGGGTTAGATTTCTGCTTTCTGTTTGTATTTCAGAAGAAAACAATTTGACGTTTTAATGGCCTTCTCTGATCTCATTACAAAATTTTAAGTAAAAGTAGAATTTTGTTCCTTAAGTATTTAGTCATATTTTCCTCATATTCTCAACAAACTGTCATAACTGAAATAATTTAACTGATAAAGAATGACAAATTAAATCACCAATAATTTTCTGTTGGTTTATAAAACAAGCTGCGTCCTGCATTCCACCAGTACACAAGAACAGAACTATGCATGGATTATTTATAAAATGTCAACAATTGCAAATCATAACTAAGAACCCTTGAGCCGAGTTACAATCAATGAGTATTATAGAATGAATTATTTACTGCTGATGTCGTGTTGTAATACAGAGAGTGTAGCCATTGGAACAGCAGGGAGAAGAGAAATTAGAGGTAATAACTGTCAAAATAGAATTAGACAGTCTTACCTGGCATCTGTGGAAATTTCACCATAAAGAGCTAATCAGAGCTCAATCAAAATGGAATTTTTGTTTCATACAGGTGCACCTTGGATATTTTTGTGATATGTCTTCCAGCATCTAACAGAAATAAAATGTAGTACTACATCAAATTACATGTCACATCAACTTTAGCGCTTTCAGTGAAATCCACCCATTGGCTGATAAATTTCGTAGCATGTTTTCAGTTCTCATGTTGCAATGGCAGCAATATGAAAAATTGAATAGTGAAAGCTTTTGTGATTGATGCCAAATACAAACCATTTGAGAAATTGGAAAGAATCTCTGCATTGAAGCTGTACTTTGGAGTACACTACTTTTCTTAGAATTGTTTGGCTTTGTTTCTGATTGATAAACCATCAGAAACACCAATTGTTTGGTTGATCCCGTAATTGGTTGGGACATCTTGACCCCAAAAGACATGCAACTGAAGCTGAAATCATTCCAGAGTTTTAAGTAAAGCCAGTGGACAGGAAAGTCCAAACTTGACCACTTGAACTTGACAGACTGGTCTGAAGAAGAAAGGGACAGCTATGTTTTTTAGAGGCAACCTGGTCTGTGTCAGGCACCAGGACCACACTGTTTGGTAGGACTGAGTGTAGGGGCGCTCTCCGAGGCCTGACATGTCTGCAAGGTCTTCTACAGATCAAGGTTGACAAGCTGATCAGAAATGAAGTCAGCGTTCTGTGTATGTTGTTTTTTCATGCAGGTTCCAGTCAGTTTGCCCCTAATAGTATAGTGACTGGAGTGATTGCTATCTGTGCAGAAACCTCCCATGTTTTCCTAATGTCACCTCTGGGTATATTGAGT